ACCTGTTCTGCAACTTCCTGTGAATCTATAATTATATCAAAATAAAGGTTTTTCTGAAATGGTTGGTCTATACATACTGATATGGAAATATAACTTTGTATCATTAGAATCAGCTGTCAAATAGAATTGTGGTGTGATTCTCTTCTAAGGAAAGAAACTGAAGATATAAAGAGTAAAAAGTGAAGAAAAAACAAATTCTAAGTTTTTACTTGATATGTTTCTGTGCTGGTTGAATTTTTTTACTTGATATTCTGTACAGTTTGAATTTTCTCACAGTGTGAACACCTTACTTTTATCATTTAAAAGGAAAATAAGAATGATATAACATTTTTTAAATCTATGGACCTTCTCCTCCCCCCCCCCAAATTCATATACAATTATGTACAAAATTTTAGCAATCCCGAAGACCCTGAAGCCCATCCATGGGTCTTCTAAAGGGTATGTGGGCCCCTGACTAGGCACCCTCGCTTTAAAAAAAAAATGATGCCTGCAGTCGTGGAGAGAAGTAGGATCAGGGGACCTATTAAATATATTCTGTAATCACCATGGGCTCCATTTGCTATGATGCCCAGCCACCCTCAAGTGGGAAATAAAGATTCATTTCTTTGTTTCTTTGTAAGTGACTACATGTGGAACTCTGAATTGCGACTTTAGGAACCACACCAAGGGTGATCATAACAAACATGAAGGAATAAATTAACATATAAATAACTTATTACTAAGAGTACTTAGAACAACTTGAGGAAATAGAATGGTTCTTTGAGCATTTGTTTAGTAGCCATATTCCAGGCAATATGCAAGGCACTGGAAATAAGGCAGTGAGAAAAACAGGCTTGTTTCCCACCCAGAAACTTCTGGGTGCCTAGAGGCATGGGAATGTTCCTGGCCTGCTTAATGCAAGGCATCGCATCTTGTTGAAAATCTTCAGTATATAAACAACGTGTATAATTGATATATAAGGGTTATGGAACCAGAGTAGAAATGTTTTATATCCCTCCTAAAAGAAATATAACACATAAATACATAAAGAAACATCAGATAGATGGAGAGATAGATATAGAGAAATAGAGAAATGATAGATAGATAGATAGATAGATAGATAGATAGATAGATCATAGATAGACAACCCACTATCAAATAGCTGTGTTCATCCAGAACCCTTTCAGACAACCACTAATTTCAATCTTTGACTCAAACATGGGAGAAAAAGCCAAATGATTCCATAATCCAGACAAATAATCTTATATTAAAAAAACTTTAAAGAAAGTTTGGTGGAGAATTAACAAGAATAGGACTGATAGAAAGACATATGATATATTAAAACACTTGAAGTTGAGAAGTAGTATAGAATACATATGGCTAATAACCTAATAACACATCCTGCAGCCAGACCACCTGGGTCGGAACTCCAAATCTGCCACCTAACAGCTCACTCTCTGTGCCTCAGCTTCTTTTGAGGACACGTGACAGATTGAATGAATTCAAGTTCTATAAATGTATTTGTCAAATAAACTTTATAGCAAGCATTTATTGGGCTGAAACCAAATGTTATAGGTATTCACAGAAAAATATTCCTAGGAAAGGAGTTATTCAATGGGTAGGAATGCACCACGTGGTGTCATGGGTAGGTGCTCCTCCAGACAGAATCCAGGCAAGACCAAGGCAGGAAAGTGAGAACAGGTTTGAAAAAACCTGTCCTGGAAAAGTGTGACAAGAAGACAGAGGCTGGCAGGGGGATGGGGAGACAGTGCTTGGCTGGCTCAGTCGGTGTAGCATACAACTCTTGACCTCAGGGTCATGAATCAAGCCACATTGATCTCTACACCATATTGGGTGTGGAGATTACTTGAAAATAAAATCCAAAGAAGAAGGAGAAGGAGAAGGAGAAGGAGACAGGGACTGGCCTGAAGGGGCAGATTAGAGGCTCAGCAAAAAGAGACCTGGTCTGTCAAGTAAGGATTTGGGTTTTACTTGATAACTAATGCTAACCCCTTGAAAGATTTTGAACAAACAAGAAAACTGATCGGTACTATGCTTTAGGAAAATCAACTTGTCCCATGATTGAAATGAGTAGATGGGAAAACCAGTTATAAAACCATTATATAATAAATGGTTATACACCAGGAGAAGTATAAGCAAGGCCAAAGCAGAATGATGACAGTGAAGAGGAATAAGAAACAGAATAAAAAATAACTAAGCAGAGAGACAGAGAGATTGGAAAAATGGCTAGGCCAGCAAAAAAATAGAAAACTATGAAAATAGCTCTCAGAAATTACTATGTGCCAGACACGCTAGGCAATTTCCCATAAGTTTTTGCAAGTAGTATGCCAAACAATCAAATGAAAATAACCAAGGAAACCGGTAAAACTATCCCTTTGTTTACCCATAAGAAATCGAGGCTCAGAAAAGTTCAGTTTTTTTGCCTAGGTCATGTGGCCAGTGAGAAGCAGAATCAAGATTTGAACCCAAAGCCCCCTGGCCCCAGGCCAGATTTCGTACTATCTCCACTAATCCATGCTAGTGCCAGGGATGGATGGGGAGAAATTTCAACTCTGTGTTTGGATACATTGTTGGATCTCTGGATGAATTTTTTTCAGCAGGCAGCTAAAAAGACACAGGCAAGTGTCGAGGTGGGGGCAGGAGGAGCGGACATCAGGGTTGGAGAATGGAATTCAGAAGCTTCACAGAGGTTTTGTAAGGATTAGTGAAGTCACTGAAGTGAATAATCAATAACAGATCATTTATAATTATTAACTTGCATGTTCATGTGCTGGGATGTAATCATGTTTGTCTGAAGAGCCAACACAGCAGTTTTAAAGGGATTCGCAAACAGAAGAAAGCTGCTGTTCTCTCCAGTAAGCAATATTTTAGTGGCAAAACACCCTGTGAATGGTTTGTGAGTACAAAGCAGCAAGCATGTGAATAGCTTTTTACAATGTCACGTTCTCTTCTTCCACTTGGGAAGGAAGCACAATGCTACCATAAGCAGATACTAACAGCACAGATGCTGGCGCTGATGTGAGCATAAATGCTGCCCCGCACCAAAAAAAAAAAAAAAAAAAAAAAATCCCAAAGTACCATGCCTGCATAAATCTTATATTTTTATGAATCACTGCTATTATGGCAACCACACACTGCAAATTTGTGTCTTAGGATGTGAATGGATCTTTCTTGATAGTTTAGCTTATCTCAGGCTCCTCATAATTTATACTTGTCCATGTATCATATCCAAACACGGCTTTGCTTCCTAGGTTGCTTGAGTGGCAGCCTGTACCCCGGACAGCCAAAGCGCAAAAATAGAGTTTAATTGTAATCCAGAGGAACAAAATCTTTCTGATGCCCCTGTTGCCATGTTGTAAACATCCGGCTACAGATTCAACATTAATTTTTCCATTTCTTATCAACAGCAGTTTTCCAGAGCCAACAAATATATTCTACCATTCAATTTTATGCTTTGTAAAAGGTGACCTATACTTTCTTTTCAAATGCAGTTCCTTTAATGAAAATATTGTAATGTCAGTCCATGCAAAGCAAATGCATATTAATATGCGTTTACATCTGTCTCATATTAATATTCATGCCTGAATCCACATCCCTACACAAAGCCAATTTTCTGACCATCTGTGTGATGGCTGGTGGATGCAATGAATAAATTTTATTTGTGAGGGGAGTGATAAATCATGTATCTTCAGTTTTTCACCCACAATCTTTCCTCTTAGGTGCAAAAATGTTTTCATCGTGGTTTGGAATATTTAAGTAAACGAAACAGATTAACCCTTTAACATTCCTACAGTTACTGACAATTTTATAAAGGCCATGGAAATGCAATCTCAACACCTCTAACCAAAACTAGGGAGAAGAGACTATAGATTTACGTGGTTGGATTTGACATCTCTAACTCTGATGTGAGTTCCAGTATCTTATAATAATTTTCTGTGGTATTTAAAATGCACCTTAGCTGTTCTGAAAAGCTTCACAGATGAAGAGAAGGCCTTTGCAAAAAGGGTATATTCCTGAAGAAAGTCTTTACAACCATCAAGTATCTTAAATCATATGAAGTGTAACCATACACAATGGAAAGGTTTCAAACAGGGAAAGTTTATCAGTATTTGGATAATGATCTTGGTACTTTACATTTTATCCAAATGAAATATCAAGATTTCAGCAGTAACAACTTGTTTGTAAATTTGGGGATCTTTGGGGGAAATATTGCATCCAAATCTTAAAAATAATCAGGATCTGAGACAAATGCAGTTAATTAACCTGGCAAACAGAGCCCAAAAGGAAGGATTCGATTGAGAAACAATCATATCATGGTAGAGAGAGCCTGAAAAATATTGCACACTGAAGGAAGAAGTATCATCTGGTGGCCTGGATAATGAAAACTGTGTTGAGTGGTCTAAGACGGTTTCCTTGCCTCTTTCTGGAATGCTTCCTATGAATTCGAGATGATTGGGCTACTAGATTGAATCCAAACCCAAAGTTTCCATCCAATTTAGTTTACCTCCTCTGAGTTAGACAGGGCTTTCCTAAGGTCCCTAAGAATGTCACAAACAGCACAAACCATACCTTCCAGGTCACAGCAGAAATAAATTGGAACTTAGTGTTCTCACTTACAAGCTGCCAAAAGTTTCTACATCTGCCATAGCAACACTGAACAGAGTGACAAGGTCAAACAGGGACCCTCAAAGCTATCAATATACGGTACATACAGCCCCAGTTAGCACATAGATATTCAAACCACAAATGGAGCCAGTTCAGAGAAATTTTGTCCCAAAGAAGCAACAGTTACTGACTAAGCACCTGCACCCTGCAAGGGGCTATGCTGTCCCTTAGAAAGCTGACCACTTAGCTGGTATGAAGATAGATGCTCCCACAAGAAGATTCTCAGCCACTAAGTGGGTGTGTGATCAACCTGAATTGAGTATGACAAAAGCAAGTTTTAGAACGTTGATATTTCCATAAGCCCAGGAAATCAAGGAAACTCACCAAGAGGAATTTGAATTCAGTCTTGAAGGCTGAAAAGATTCAGATGGTCACAGAGAAGAAGTCATAGCAGATGGGAGAAGCTTTACAGAGCCCAGAGCAGGAAGTATTTCGTTGGGAGGAAGCAGGAGTAATGGGTGAAATGGTGAGTAGCCTCCCCTGGTTACATCTTGAGAATTAATGTTCAACACTGTGGAAGTGAAGAGAAATGATTTTGAGTAGTACACATGTAGGCATTAAATAATATTGAATTATAAAGTCAGAAAAATAATCTCCTACTAACTCTGTTAATTCTCCTAATTGCCTCAAGAAGACAGTCTCAGTTTGGTGCCAATATATCTTTCATACCACTCTAGTACTTGCTAAATCTCTCATTTTCACAAAGAGAGTCAGCCTCAGGCCCAAAGTCTACAGACTGGAATTTGTTTGCTTTCAGAATGTTGGTTTTCAGTATTACTTTATTCTATACCAAGTAGTATTTACCGGGCTTCCATTTGTGGTGGTAATATAACATTTCCTTTTAAGGAAAATTTATTTAAGGCTTTTTTAATTTGTTGGTTTTTTTATTTTTTATGTTTATTTTTATTTTTTGAGAGAGAGTGTGTGCACACACGAGCTGGGGAGAGGGGCAGAGGGAGAGAGATAGAACCTTAAACAGGCTCCACTCTTGGTGTGGAGCCCAACACAGGGATCGATCCCACAATCCTGGGACCTTGACCTGGACTGAAATCAAGAGTCAGATGCTCAACCAACTAAAAATTAGTTGTTTTTTAAAAGATAAATAGTAGAATCAGTGAGTGTGACCAAGAAATGATGAAGGTTTGGAGAGGACCAATGTGACACAGTAACTGGCAAGACAGAAAGATAGCTTGGACGCAGGCCGGAAATGGCTCAATATAGAAGCTGACTGGATTAAATTACAGCCTTTGATTTCAATTCCATTGGTAATTCTATGTATCTCTGTTTCCCTCATACATGGGCATTGCTGAGGTTATGTTTGTAAAGTCTCTTCCAGGCCTAGAATTTTTCAAAAATATATCTAGATGTTTTCATATAAAGGCGAAAGAAATATTACCTAAATAAGAGATGGAGAAATACATAATAGGTCACCAAGCCCTATCCCTCACTGATTTAACCTAAGAGATAAAAACATAAAATACTTCACCAGCAGCAAAAGGATATTGCTTTCATTATATCACCCAGGATTTCACACCATATACTTAAGTGTGATTTAGCATAATATTGATACTTGTTTATATTTGCCACCTACCTATTTCACAGTGATGTTGTAAGGATTAGTGATATAATATTTCTTAAGCCCTTTCGGCTCTTAAAAGAAAATATGCACTATAAAATCAAGGTAATAGTAATAATAGTCATCATCATAATAGCAACAACTGCTCATGCATTTTCAAACGTGGGCTCTGTGTTGATGGAAAGGGAAATTAGGCTGCAAGCTAAAAATGCGTGCCTATCAGCTGGTTAGAACGCCAAGACTTCGAACGGGATAATAGTGTTACTATCTACAGTTACCAAGGTCTGGAGTGAGGTCTGAGATTCTGCAGTTTAGCCACTCCTGGGTTGCTGATACTGCTAGTCTGAGGCCACACTGTGAGTAGTAAGGCCTTAAACCACCACTCTTCCAGGGTCAGACCTAAAAGATATGCCATTGACCATCAGCAGATTTAAGGAAGCATGTCTACACTCATCTTGGCAAATCTGTCACTGCTGCTGAGGCCGCCCCCATTTTTGCCCCTTTGTGACTGGTAGTCTATCTCCATTGTCCAGTTCACCACCTATATGAAAACTCTCTCTCCCATTGTCTTCCTCTCATTCCCAAGCCAGACATGAATTCTTTAAGAGCAGAAACCCATCATATTTATTCTAAAAACTGATCACGAAGTTTGAGCAAAGATCTATGTTCGAATTGACTGGGTGGCTCAGTCAATTAGGCATCCCGCTTCAGCTCAGATCATGATCTCTCAGGTTCTTGAGTTCAAGCACTGCATCAGGCTAGCTGCTATCAGTGCAGAGCCCTCTTCTGATACTCTGTCTCCCCCTCCCTCTCTGCCCCTCCCCCACTCGTCCACATACTCTTCCTCCCCCCCCAAAATAAATAAACATTAAAATAAATAAATAAAAATTAAAAGTAACAAAAAGACTGGGATTGGAGGAGTCAAGCCCTGGGTTCCTGCTTCCTGAATCTCTTCAATGTGCCCCACAGGGGGACATGGCTCTTGGAGATCTGGGGTCTGAACAGTCCCTTGTGAGCCCTGACATCAGGGAGCCTCCACCACTGAATGGTCTATGAAGATTGGGACCACAATGGGCTGAAGACCAGAAGCCCTACCAATTTTTCCAGACTGCACAAGCCCTCAGGTTCTTTTACAACCTCAAGGGAGTCACTGACCAACCCAAGACCAGATAAGGTAGGGGCTAAGTCTTTTTTAATGGGATGAGGAAAAAATTCCTTAGTGTGATTTTTTTTCTTGCATTAAAATATTATAGGAAAGTACACATACATATACATGTACAAATATATGTGTATATAAGTGAAACTCTGGAAGGATATACTCCAACATGTCAATGGTAATTAACATTTTGTTGGTTTACAAGAGATTTTTTTTTTGTCTTCACACATTTCCATATTTTTCAAAAATTCTGAAAAACACCTAAGTTGCTTTTAGAATTAGGAAAAGAAAGTACCAAAAAAATGTCATTTTTTAAAATCGAGGCACATATTTTATTCACCTTTTTTATATACAGTACCTAGCACAGTTATCGATCACACAGCAGGTGCTCAAATAAATAACTAAATAAAATAAACTATTAAAAGGCGCTCAAATAAATGATAACTAAATAAAATAAACTATTAAAAGCCCATGCCATAATGGTAAGTTAATACAATCACCGTGGTATAAAAAAAACTGTACATGCACATATGAAAGAAAGAAAGTTATTCTGAGATAGATATTCTGAGAATATCATTTTATATAAGACTATCAAAATTATGATGAAAGAAATATCATGTGAGTGTTAAACAAAGGCAATGTGGGCTCAGCGACAGTGGCCTTGATTTGGAGACAGAGGTTCTGCTTAGGTCCCCATGTTACCCACTAAGTACATCCCTTTGGTAAGTCACTGCCCTTTGCAAACCTCCAATACCTCATCTGTAAATATAATTTCCATCAACTTAAACATGGCATTGTTAAAATCAAACAAACGGCAGAATGTGAAAGCAATTTTGAAACTATGATGTACTATACCAGACTACTTATCTCTAGAATATGTATTTGGCAGGATGAAAAAGAAGGACTAAGAATACAGCTAATTCTTTTAAATTATTTATCCAAAAAAACCCCCAAAACTAGTCTTACTGTTTTAAGCTGTTGAACTTTGGGGAAATTTGTTACACAGCAAGAGCTAACAATACAAGGATGCTGAAATAAACTGGGCAGTGGTTTGAAAAGACCTACTTGAGGAGATTATATTTGTTCTGAGACCTAAAGAACATGAATGAGCTCTGCAAACAGACAAATAAACAAAACCCAGCTAAGTTAAAGGACCAGCCAGCGGAAAGGGGAAGGGACCTGGAACATTTGAGAAGCAAACAAACTTTTCTCCCCAGTCTGTTCATTGATTAGACAAGTCTCCATTCAGCCCCTCTACTCCATTCAGCAGTCTCCTACTGCTGGCAATTCTTATTTCCCGTTCCCTTCTCTACTGCATTTGTGCTTTTTCCTTCTGGTGTTTCTTAACAGAATTATCAGCATTTGGGGTAATTCTCCATAGTATAGGATTACCCACATATCACAGAATATTTTGCAACACAGGCCCTTCCCCTAAATTCTCAATCTCCAGTGACAACTCCCGTGAGAATCTCACGTGAGAACCCAAACCTCTCTCCTTCCTCACTTTTCAAAATAGCTTCCAGGAAGACATTATTGTCCCCGGTTTAAAACTCCACGATCTAACCTACAGAAACACAGAGTGGTAATGACTAAAAATACTCTTGGGCACCAAAGGTTGTTAAATATGAAACTTCACTCCATCACTTATCAGAAATCAAACTTCATCTTTCTAAACCTCATTTGTTCATTTGTTAAATAAGCCTTCCAAAGATTAAATGAAATGTCATATGTAAAATAGCACAGGCATGGCACATGGGAGCTAGTATTAAATTATTTCTCGTGGCCCAGCCAAATCCCTCTCACTCTTTCAAATCAAACTGAAGCCAGATCTCTTCCAAGAAGCGCTGGTGGCTTCACTTACCCTCTTTTTTGAATTTATAATGGATGTGTCACCAATGGACACATTCCTTGTAGGTAGGTGGCACATGATGGCTATTGTTCTCTATGGAAAGTACAAGGGTATCCAGTGCAAGATTTTAAGCTATGTGGCAGTCTTCCTTTTCCTCTCCTACAGACCACAGTGATGGAAGGTCTGCTTACCTTTCTGCTCTTCTAGACCATCCTTTTCAGGTGTTTCCCCTTCAGTGTTGGTTGTAGAGTTGGACAATCTCTACATTGCCCACCCCTTCCTTGTTACCACAAAATAAAACACGGGGCCTGATAACCCAAATGTCAACCGCCTAGGTGTCTCCATAAAACCTTCTGGCACTGAGGAGGCAAAGATGGTGTAACAGTCTTAGCATCAGTTTAAAAAATGCTCAAGCATTAATTAACATCAACCCGGGATCTCAGGACTCTCAAAAGAACTCTACTTCCCCAGTCTCCCTTTGCTTGGATTGTCTGCTTTCAGTGACTTCTCTCGACCCCTGTTGTGTCTTGTCTCTTTCAGTCACTCTCTCTTCTCCAGCCCATATCCATACTAATGTGAAATGTGGCTCCTGTGTCCTTTTCTCTGTCCTACAAATGAGGGAGAAGGCAGAGCTTTGGGAGTGACACGAGAACTTCCAGACAACCAGCATAGCAAACACCTGAAGGCTTACTATTACGATTCCTGTTAGTAACATTCCACCATCTCCAATCTCCTGAAATTTGCTTTCCTCACTTGAACACAGTGAGAATCACCATGGAAGAAAAAAAAAGAAATAGAAAGTGTATGGAGTAAAAAATATTCTAAATTTCTTAGCATGGACCCTAGACCTATCATTCGGACTCTTTCTCAAAGAGCATCAAAGCTGTGAATCAAAGACTTACCTCCTTTTTCTTGTTGCTGCTGTTGTTG